TATTTATTTATTTATTGTGGGTCCAGTCGTGGGGCCTGAATTCTGGGCCTGGGCGCTGTCCCTCAGCTCTTCAGCTCAAGGCTAGCGCTCTACAACTTGAGCCACAGAACCACTTTCGGCTTTTTTCTTTTTGCTTATGTGGTGCTGAGGAATCGAACCCAGGGCCTCAGGCATGCAAGACAAGTGCTCTACCACTGAGCCACCTTCCCAGCCCAGTGTAAATTTATTTTCTATCACTAAGAACCTCCAATCTCAGCTTTGTGAGTAGCTAGAATTAGAGCTGTGAACCACTAACACCCAACAGGTCTTTTCTTTCTTTATGTACCTTCTTTTTTTGGGGGGGGGGGGGCTGGTCACGGGGCCTGAACTCTGGGCCTGGGCACTGTCCCTCAGCTCTTCAGCTCAAGGCTAGCACTCTACCACTTGAGCCACAGTGCTACTTCCGGCTTTTTTCTTTTTGCTTATGTGGTGCTGAGGAATCGAACCCAGGGCCTCAGGCATGCAAGACAAGTGCTCTACCACTGAGCCACCTTCCCAGCCCAGTGTAAATTTATTTTCTATCACTAAGAACCTCCAATCTCAGCCTTGTGAGTAGCTAGAATTACAGCTGTGAACCACTAACACCCAACAGGTCTTTTCTTTCTTTATGTACCTTCTTTTTTTTTGGGGGGGGGGGGTCGGTCACGGGGCCTGAACTCTGGGCCTGGGCACTGTCCCTCAGCTCTTCAGCTCAAGGTTAGCGCTCTACCACTTTGAGCCACAGCGCCACTTCCGGCTTTTTTTTTTTTTTTGCTTATGTGGTGCTGAGGAATCGAACCCAGGGCCTCATGTATGCAAGGCAAGCGCTCTACCACTGAGCCACCTTCCCAGCCCATCTTTATGTACCTTCTATATAGTTGTTTTTCATCTTTGGGAGTGAGGTGCTGAAGTCATTAACTATGATGATAGTAATATTATGCTCAATGGGCTATTGAAGAAGTGATTTTGCTATAAAAGTGAGCTCTCTGTGGCATGCTTATTCTATCTTTCCATACCCCACACTCCTTTGGGGCAGACTCTCCCACATACTCGCCTCTCTTCCAAACCCTGACTTTATCCAGGATGAAGCCTCATGCTATCTAGCCAAACTCAAAAAAAAAAAAAAAAAATAGGTCTAAAAATAAGATAGAGGTGCCAAGGCTTTGCGAAAAGAGACAACAGCCCACCTCTCACCCAACATAGAAGCTGCCATTCATTCATCCAGTAACCATTTGCTGAACACCTGCTGTCAGGCTGTAGTAGGAAGACCCCTACTCAGGCAGGCAAGGCCAACTAGTTGTCCGGAGTGACAGAGCCCACCGCCACAAAGGTGTTAATAAAGAACCGGGGGGGGGGGGGGGTCCGGTTGTGGGACCTGAACTCTGGGCCTGGGCGCTGTCCCTCAGCTCTTCAGCTCAAGGCTAGCACTCTACCACTTGAGCCATAGCGCCACTTGCGGCCTTTTTCTTTTTGCTTATGTGGGGCTGAGGAATCGAACCCAGGGCCTCATGCATGCAAGGCAAGCGCTCTACCACTGAGCCACCTTCCCAGCCCCAAGAAGCAACTTTATTGAGAAGGTTCCTACACTGACCAGCCAGAGACTAGGCACAGGATCGGGAGCTGATACTGCGACCCTGAGCGGCCCACGTACTTAGGTTTCTAAGGGCAAAATTCACAAAGTCAAGCCTGGTCACGCAGGTGACCAATGAGATTGTTACACACCCAAAAGATTGCAGTCAGACCACACGCAGGTGGCCAATGAGGTTACAGTTTGTCTCATAATGGCTGTTTAAACCAGCCTATCACTTTTGGTTTAAATGATTCACGAATTCAACCTTAAGGCGGAGCTTACGGTAAAATTGCCAATATGAGCCAGATTACAACCTCTCTGTTTAATGGGCCAGTCCTTAACAGAACAATGAAGGTGGGTTAAGTTGTTAAGGGGAGGGGGACCTTGACATATTCTTTCCATTCCAAGAACTGGGCTGGTTGGAGCCAAGGTCGCCTAAAACAAAGGCAAAGCCTGGGAAGAAGCTGTACCAGCTCAAGTCTCTTGTCAGGGCCTACTTCAAGACCACAAACAAATCCCTGCTCTCATGGGAATTTTTTTTTTTTTTTTTTTTGGGGTCCGGTCGTGGGGCCTGAACTCTGGGCCTGGGCGCTGTCCCTCAGCTCTTCAGCTCAAGGCTAGCACTCTACCACTTGAGCCATAGCGCCACTTCTGGCTTTTTTCTTTTTACTTATGTGGTACTGAAGAATTGAACCCAGGGCCTCGAGCATGCAAGGCAAGCGCTCTACCACTGAGCCCCCTTCCCAGCCCTCTCATGGAAATTTTATTCGAATAGGGAAGACAAGAAATAATTTTCCAACCATGAGAAATGCCCTAATGTTCAGGCTTCAGCCTTTGCTCTAACACAAAGTTCAGGCTTTATACTTGCAATCCTGCAGCACTGAAACCTCTGCTGGCTTTTTCTTTTTCTTTTTTTTTTTTTAGTTGTGAAAATACCGTACAGAGGGGTTACAGTTACACGAGCAAGGTAATGAGTACATTTCTTATCAAGTATTGTTGCCTCCCAGCTGGCTCCATATTATTTGGACAGGCTGACTGTTGGCTCCTGCCTACTGCTTCCCCCTAACACAACACTCTCTCCACAGCCTTCATGAGGGACTTTAACCACAGGCAACCCCTCTTCGTTAACTGAGTAGATCAAAATGGTACTTGGCAACATGGGTTCATCAGAAATTCCTGGAACCTAGATTTGGATGACACTTGTGTTGCCTAAAGATAACAGATGCTAAAAGGCCATCAAGAATTGGTATAGCCATATTACATCACTCGTGTATGTCGAAGTTTCAGAACAAAAGTTGCCCAGGAGGAAGTAGCATTGTGGCGCCAAGTGTTAGAATGCTAGCCTTGAGCAAAAGAGCTCAGGGTCAATTCCTAGGCCCTGAGTTCAAGCCCCAAGACCAAAAACAACTAAAAAAAGAGCTGGGGGTGGGGGAAGATGGGAAGGGGAAACAAAGGAGAAGGCAACAATGCTTAATAAGAATGCACTCATTGCCTTGCCCATGTAATTGTAACCCCTCTGTACAGTATTTTCACAATTAAAAAAAATAGCGCAGACTCGGCAGGGTCAGACAACGCCTTTCCCTGAGCAGCTCCAGTTCCTAGCATTTGATTGCTGCTGTGGCACCAGGGTGCATCACTCATGAACGAGATTAATACTCTTGTCAGAGAAAAGCTTGATTGCATTGCAGCCCTCTCTGCTCTCTGCCATGTGAGGCTGCAGTGAGAGCAATGGCCTGTAAAACAGGAAGGGGGCTCTCTCCAGATACTACATCTCTGGGTGCCTGGGTCCTGGACTTTCCAGTCTCCAGGACTGACAAAGAAGTGTCTGTTGTCAAGCCATCCCGGTCCATGGTATATTTGCTATATTCATCTGAGAGTTTCATCGCCTGTGTTGCTCACAGGGCCCTCATAACAAAGCTCTCTTAAGTGCAGTTAGATAGCATTTCCTCACTTGTGACTAAGTTTCTCTGGCTGTTTGTTTTTTTTTTTTTGGGGGGGGGCGTCCGGTCATGTGCCTGAACTCTTGGCCTACGCTGTCCCCCAGCTCTTCAGCTCAAGGCTAGCGCTCTACCACTTGAGCCATAGCGCCACTTGCGGCTTTTTTTCTGCTTATGTGGTGCTGCGGAATCGAACCCAGGGCCTCATGCATGCAAGGCAAGCGCTCTACCACTGAGCCACCTTCCAAGCCCCCTCTGGCTGTTTGTTGTCTTCTATTAAGTTATATAACAAAGTAATCCCCAAATACCAATGACTTCAGAGACAGAAGTTGTTTTATTTTTGGTGGTACTCAGAGTGTTCCACTTGGCAAGTTTTCCACCACTTGAGAACTTTTCCACCTAGAGAAGTTTATTTTAGATTGCTTCAAAGTCCAGTCATAGGTTGAGGCCAGAACTGTTAGTGACTTTGAGACCTTTTGAGACCTTTAACAAACGGGGGATAGGAAGTGGAGAACAGAGTGTGTTCTTCCTTTCTTTCTTTCTTCCTTCCTTTCTTTCTGCCAGTCCACTGTCCCTGAGCTTCTTTTTGCTTTTTTTTTTTTTGGGGGGGGGGGGGTGGGTCCGGTCATGGGTCCTGAACTCTGGGTCTGGGTGCTGTCCCTCAGCTCTTCAGCTCAAGGCTAGTGCTCTACCACTTGAGCCACAGTGCCACTTCCTGCTTTTTCTGCTTATGTGGTGCTGAGGAATCGAACCCAGGGCCTCATGCATGCAAGGCAAGCACTCTACCACTGAGCTACCTTCCCAGCCCTCTTTTTGCTTAAGGCTAGCACTTGTTCCACAGCACCACCTCTGACTTTTTCAGTTTTTGTGGTACTGAGGAATCAAACCCAGGGCTTCATGCATGCTAGGCAAGCATGTTCCAAGCCCTTATTTTAATTTTTGTGCCAGTCCTGGGGGCTTGAATTTGGGGATTGGGAAGTTGTCCCTAAGCTTTCATGTTCAAGGCTGGCTCTAACACTTGAGCTACAGCTCCAGTCCAGCTTTTTGATAGTTAATTGGGAGATCAGCGTCTCACCTACTTTCTGGCTTGGGCTAGAATCTCAGTCCTCAGATCGCAGCCTCCTGAGTAGCTTACAGACATCAGCGCCCAGCTCTATATCCTAGGCTGGCCTCAAACTCACAATCCTCCAACCTCAGCTGTGTACCACCACGCCCAGCCCCTGAAACATCATTGAAAATGAAATGGCATGTATTGAGCTTTCACACACTGTCCCATCCGCATACCACCGGCACGGGGTGGTCATCATCTTAACCCAGCCGTTTACGGAGTGTCGTGGAGAGGTTGGTGAGGAGCTCACGCAGCGCAGGGTCTCCAGGGGGCGCCGGCCGAGGCGCTGGCCCGGGCGGCATAGGCGGAGCCGTTTGCCCAGGCCTCGCCCCCCCTCCGGCCGCCGGAACTTGGCGGATCCCGAGATCCCAGGCCTGGCGGGTCCGGCCACACCTGCCCAGCTTCGCCAGGATGCAGCGCGCCCTGCCCCGCGTCCTGCGCGTCCTGCGCATCCTGCGGCCCCGGAGGCCCCTCGGGGCCCGCCACTGTGCGTCGGACGCCGCCGCTGGGGGCCGCGAGATCCAGGTGCGGGCCCTGGCGGGTCCCGACCGAGGTAATCACCGCGCCATCGCGGGCGGGCCGCGGCGGGGCCCCGACCAGATCGCGGGGGACGAGGCAGGCGCTCCGCCATGACACTGAGAACGGGTCTCGAATCGCCTGTCTCCAGCTCTAGGCTCCTACCGCAGCCCGGGACCCCCGAGGTTGGGCTGGGCCGTCGTATCTCAGCCTCGCACCTGGAGGTCTCCAGCGTGCGGAGGACTGCGGGGAACAGGAGCTCCGCCACACTGCACTTTGGGGCCCAGTGGCCCCACATCAGCGCTGAACCCGCCGGCGGAGGCGGCGCGGCCAATCCCTGGCCGGCGTGCGGGGGAGGACGGAGGGCGGGGCCGGCGGCCGCACCGGTCCCCTCTGCTCCTGCTCGGGGGACGCCTTCGAGCGCACCTGGGTGGGAGGGTACGCGCATGCGCGTTTGGACTTCAGTGGCATTCCGTGGGCCCCTTTCCTTCCCCTGTTGTTGTTTTGTGCTGGTCCTGGTCCTGGTCAAGACTTGGCTGTTGCTCCTGAGCTCTTTTGCTCAAGCCTAGCACTCTACCACTTTGAACCACAGCGCCATTTCTGGTTTTCTGGTGGTTAATTGGAGATAGGAATCTCACAGGGACTTTTCTGCCTGTGTTGGCTTTGAACCTCAGATCTCAGCCTCCTGTGTAGCTAGGATTGTAGGTGTGAGCCACCAGCACCCGGCAGCATCTACTGTTTTTGATGGATATGTATGTAACCTGGAGTGGTAAGGCTAGACACCTAATTCCTAGAATTCCAAGATACTAGGTTCAACCACTTGTTCCAGTCTGCCATTGAAAATAGACAAGAAGTAGCTAAGCATCTGTGGCTCTGGCTTGTAGACCTAGCTATTTAGGAGGGTGAGATCTGAGGATTGACATTTGTCTGGCAGACAAATCCCAATGACTCTTAGATCCTTTATCCAGTAAGAAAACTGGAAGTGGAAGTGTGACGTAAGTGGTAGAGTGCTAGCATTGAGTGAAAACACTAACCAAGAGCCTCTGCAAGACCCTGAATTCAAGCACCAGCACCAAGGCAAAAAAAAGCAAATAGTGGTGAAGGGCCGAGGAAGATTTATCACATCTCACTGGAAGAGGCAGAGAGTAAGCATTTCAGCCAATCTTTCCCACTGAGTGGAAACTTGTCCAGAGTGTGATGGGCTGGTCTCAGGTACAGTCTGGCTGATTATGATCTCAGGACTGGCCAGGTGGAGCCTGGCTACTCTAAGAAAGTCCTTAGTGCTTGTGGAGTAGCTTACATTCTTGTCACAGGGGTTATCAAGTAGTCTTTCTTCTTGGATTGCAATATAACTGTTAGAGAGAATGGCTGAGAGCAAAGGACACAAAAAAATGGAGCAGAAGAGCCACATTTTTCTCTGGTTTTGGACATTTACAGGCTTAAGTCAAGAGCCAGTACTTTGTAGCAAAAGTGCTAAGGACAGTACTTGGAATTTTCCCTAGAATCCAGTTTAAGAAATTGAGACAGGCTGGGAAGGTGGCTCAGTGGTAGAGCGCTTGCCTTGCATGCATGAGGCCCTGGGTTCGATTCCTCAGCATCCCATAAGCAAAAGAAAGAAGCCAGAAGTGGCACTGTGGCTCAAGTGGTAGAGCGCTAGCCTTGAGCTGAAGAGCTCAGGAACAGCGCCCAGGTCCAGAGTTCAGGCCCCACAACCAGACCCCCCCCAAAAAAAGAAAGAAATTGAGACAAAGAGGGTGATGCAATTTGAACTAGGTGTATTTGAGAACCTGCACTGTGGCCCAGAAGTTCACGATAGATTTTTCTAGCAATTTAATGATTCCACAGGTTTATCCATCAGTACATAAAAAATTGCCTGGGTTATAGATCTTTCACCTCATTTACAGATACTGAAATCATTCGCTCCTGAAAGTTGGGTAAGACTCTGGCACTGCCAGGGGACATGAGAGGGGAGAAAAAGAAGGAGAAGCAGTGGCCAGGGCATGAGGAAGAGCTCACACAGAATTCCCAGAAAATGATGCAGTCACTTGATGATCCTATCAGAAGCCCCAGGTTGTGTGTTCCGCTGGGGAGATGGCACCCAAACTCTGCTGTCCTGGGAAGTGAGAGTGGCTAGGCAGCTGCTCCTCGCTTCTGCTGCTTTAGCCTTTGTAGTTCATGGAGTATTCCTTCAACTCCCTAGCTGCAAGTCATGGTGCCCTACCTCAACCTAAGGTTTCCATCTTCTCTCTATCCATGGCTTCATTTGAAGCTTTTCCACTCTGTTTTTCCATCTGTGGTTTCCTGATGGACCTGTCTCTTCCTTTCTGCCCATTTGATTCTTTCTGCTTATGTGGGTCTTTCTGGAACCCACTTGCCAAACTGCACCTCCTTTAAGTTTTATGTGTCTCATAGGTGTAGGTGTATGTGCTGGCACTGGGGCTTGAACTCACACTCTTGCTCACAAGGCTGGTGCTCTTACCACCCCGCCTCCACTTCCAGCTTTTTGGTGATTAACTGCAGAGAAAACTTTTCTGCCTAGGTGGGCTTTGAATCTCAATCCTTAGGTCTCAGTCTCCTGAGTAGGTAGGATTACAGGCATGAGCTACTAACATTCAGGCCTCCTAGATTGTTAATGCTCCGAATCCAACCCAAGGCTTTGCACATGCTGGGTAAGTAAGTGCTCTACTACTGAACCTCATCCCCAGCAATTGTTAGCTCTTAGAAAGTGAGGGCTGGTATCTGTGTGTAGTTGTTACTTTTCTGGTTTCTCTGTTTTCCCTGTTGTTAGGTTACCCAGAAAGGAAATGCACCACATGGTTCAGGCAGAAAAGAGTTTATTGGGGGGAGAGCAAACTGCCAGCCCACACAAGATGGAGGTACATGGAGAGTGGGGGAAAGAAGAAGAGAAAAAGAGAAGTCAGGGCTGGGAAGGTGGCTCAGTGGTAGAGCGCTTGCCTTGCATGCCTGAGGCCCTGGGTTCGATTCCTCAACACCACATAAGCAAAAAAGAAAAAAGCTGGAAGTGGTGCTGTGGCTCAAGTGGTAGAGGGCTAGCCTTGAGCTGAAGAGCTGAGGGGACAGCACCAAGGCCCAGAGTTCAGGCCCCACGACCGGACTCCCCCCCCCCAAAAAAAAAAAGAAAAAGAGAAGTCAGCTGGGAATGTGGCTTAGTGGTAGAGTGCTTTCCTCGCATGCATGAAGCCCTGGATTCTCAGTACCACATAAACAGAAAAGGCCAGAATGGCATTGTGGCTCAAGTGGTAGAGTGTTATCCTTGAGCAAAAGAAGCTTATGGACAGAGCCCAGGCCCTCAGCTCAAGTCCCAGGACTGGCTAAAGAAAAAAAAGAAAGAAAGATAGAAGAAGGACTTGTATTGAACCAGATGGTATAGGGAAAGGCAGGAGGTGGGACCACAGCGGATGGGGAGTGATTTCAGAGCCTGGTGAACCTCTCACTGCTCAAGGGAGGCGTGATCAGGGTGGTTCAGGAAATGACGTCAACAGATGAGAAAGTGACTTCAGAGCCTGGGATCCTTTGCTGACTCACTGTCAGGTGATTACTGTCAGGTGATTACTGTCAGGTGATTACTGGTTTCAGGCAGGTGAAGAAGCTGGGAGGGGCTGTTCTCCTGGGCTGACCTTAACATCTGTTACACAAGAGGTTGTTAAACTCTACCTTCCAGTGCTTTCTGTTGGACTTCCACCAACATAGCCTGTGGAGATCATCTAGACAGATGTGACCTTAGAGATTTTCATTGGACTTGGTCAGAGTGGCAATTGCAACACAGCCTCTCTCCACTAATTGGGCTAAAGGGCAATGCTCCTAGAACCCAAGCCAGAACACTTAGTGACAGCTGAATGGCCCAGAATGAGGCATGTTATAGTGCCAGGTGAATGAAAGCCAAGGACACTGCCTGGCTCCTTAGGGTCCCCAGCTTGCAGCATGGTCTCCTCTGATGACACACACTCACACTTTGTCTAGGTACTTTGTACATTATCCCTTTTGATTCTCCTAACAACCCTTTAATTCTTATTGATCAGGAAATTGAAGATCAAAGAGGTAAAGTGACTTTACTTGATGTGTCCAGGTTGTGGCTTCAGTCAAGAACAATAAGAGCTGTCTGTCTATGTCCTGAGAGGAAGAGAGATGAAAACAAAAGGTTAAAGGCAGACAGAAAGAAAAGGACAGAGCAGCGCTGGGAAGGTGGCCCAGTGGTAGAGTGCTTGCCTTGCATGCATGAGGCCCTGGGTTCTATTCCTCAGCACTACATAAGCAGAAAAAGCCAGAAGTGGTGCTGTGGCTCAAGACGTACAGTGCTAGCCTTGAGCTGAAGGGCTCAGGACAGTGCCCAGGCCCAGAGTTCAGGCCTCACAACCAACAAAAAAAGAAAATAAGAAAGAAAGAAAGAAAAGGACAGAGTAGGAAAGCAGGAAGATGGGGAACAAAGTTTGTTAAAACCAAATCATGGTGACTGTGTTAGTTTTTTGTGGCTATATAATAAATGACTAAAAACTGTTGCCTGTGATACTATACATGTATTACTTGTGGATTCTGTAAGTCATGTAATAAATATAGTCTTCAAGAACCACCAGAGACCTAGCGCCAGTGGCTCACGCCTGTAATCCTAGCTACTTAGGAGGCTGAGATCTGAGGATCACGGTTCAAAGCCAGCCCAAGCAGGAAAGTCTGTGAGACTCTTATTTCCAATAAACCACTCAAAAACTGGAAGTGGCACTGTGGCTCAAGTGGTAGAGTGCTCATCTTGAGCTGAAGAGCTCAGGGACAACACTCAGGACCAGAGTTCAAGCTCTACAACCGACAAAAAAATTCTGCTGGGAGTCAGGCACAGGTAGTTCATACCTATATTCCTATCTCCTGTAATCTTAGCTACTCAGGAGGCTGAGATCTGAGGATCATGGTTCAAAGTCAGCCCAGGCAAGGAAGTCCATGAGATTCTTATCTCTCATTAACCACAAAAAGCTGGAAATGGAGCTGTGGGTCAACTGGTAAGAGCACTAGCCTTGAACATAAAAAGCTCAGGGACAGCATCCAGGTTCCAAGTTCAAGCTCCCAGGCAGACATAAGAAAATAAAATCCTTCCTTATCCCAAAGCAGTTCTTTTACTTTCTTTACTTGCTGATAGAGTTTTAACAAAATAATCAACCAGAGCCAAGCCTTCAGGCCAATGCAAGAACTTTGATAGAAAGACAGCTTTCCTCACAGAGGTCGGCACACCTGAGCTGAGTTTCCTATGGCAAGTCTTCCCAGACCATTATGCAGGAGTTGGCTGGGACTGTGGTCTCATCAGAGGCTGGGCTGAGGGCCTATCTGCTTCCAGTTTCTTGGTGCACTTGACAGAATTCACCTAGTTGTGGCTAGAGTACTGAACTCCCACCTTCTTGCTACCTGTTGGTCAGCAGTTGCTCTCAGCTCCTAGAAACTGCTCATAGTTGCTTGCCATGTGACTCTCCACAGACCCATTAGTGTGGCTATCAAGACAGAGGCTTGTATGTACCATAGCCTAATCACAGAAGCCACAATTTATCACCTTTGTCACATAATTTATATTTTGGGGGTTGTACTACTTTTTGTCTTGTTTTTGTGGTTGACAGGTGTACATCACCACACGCTGCTGTTGGTTGAGATTAGGTCTTGCTGATTTGTTTGTCCATGCTGGCCTTGAATCTCTTCCAGACTCCACCTTCTGAGTAGCTGGTATGAGCAGCTATGGCCAGCCTGTTACTAGGGTTTTAAATTCAGGACCTTAACCTGGTTGCTAGGTAAGTGCTCTACCATTTGAGCCATTTCAGAACTCATGTTGTATGCCATTGGTTAGAAGCAATTCTCAGATCCCAGACACACTCAAGTCAAAAGGAATTCTTCCAGATGTGAATGTTATGAACAGTTGACCTTATCTAGGCAGACAAAGGGACAGCTCTCTTAGCACTGACAGCCCTGAGTTCCAGAGGCCTTCAGAGCTAGGGGCTTATTGCTGTGAGTGCCCAAGCAGAGGCTTCTTGCTCTGCACTTGGATTACTGACACCTAGTGGCTAGTTTCAGTTACCAACTTTTGAGCATTGGGACTTCATCTCTTTGGCCACTTGACATCTAGTCAAGGGGGCTGGAAGTTCTCACAGCTTCAGCGCTCACCTTTGGTTCCTCATTTTTGAGTCTCTGATTCTCCACCATCTCAACTTCTCAGTCCTTCTGTTTTTGTAACCTTAGCTTCATTTGGAGTCTGACCCCAGTCATGCTGTGGAACTCTTTCTTCAGCTGCCTCCTACTGTTATAGCTCAGGACTTCAGGCCTCAGGACGTTAGTGGCTGTCTGGGAATCTTAACTACTTTCTGGCATTTCACTTTGGGTACTGGGCCCTCAGTTCATGGTGGCCCTGGAAGGCTCCGGCTGTTTCCTTTCTGCTGTTGCCAGGCCTAGAAGTCCTAGAGTATAACCAGGTTAGTCCACGCTACCTGTGATAAAGACCACAGGGATGCAAAGACAATTCAAGAGAAGCCTCTGTGGAGGACTAATATTTCAACTTAATGTTGTAGCTAAGACTTCAATACTAAATTGTGTGTGTGTGCGTGTGTGTGCCAGTGCCATGGCTTGAACTCGACTTCCTGTCTTTGTTTAGCTTTTTTGCTCAAGATTGGCAATTTAACACTTGAGCCATACCTCCATATCTAGCATTTTTTCTCATTAATTAAAGTAAGAGTCTTTAGGATTTGTCTGCCCTGCTGATCCTCAGATCTCAGCTTCCTGAGTAGCCAGGATTACAGGTGTGAGTCACCAGTGCCTTAAATAATTCTGGTAATTATGGACAAATCACATTTGCTATTTTTCACTGGTCTAATTAAAAAGGTTTTTTAATTGTTAAAATAATTTTCTGGGGAAAATATAGGAAGCAATGACTACAAAAGTCAGAAGTTACATTGTCAGGAGCTGTGACTGAGTTGGGGTACATGTGGGGAATGGGTCTGTATTTTGATCTAGTTACAGGCTATTTGCTTTTAAACTCTACAGGAAGGTATTTGGTTTATGACAGGGAGATAATATGGCAGGAGTTGTAGAATTCAATGTGTGTGTGTGTGATAGTGGTCACCTTGTGCCTTTTACTCCACAGTTAACAAATCCTTCTTCCTATGGGAGGTAACAAGAGCGAAGACTATTCTATGGAGAAACTGAGGAACGAGTGTGTGACATGCTCCAGCAATAGCACCTAGAACCAGACCTCCCATGTCTAGTCCCCAGGGTGTGGGTGAACAGGGCCAGCTGGCTCGCCTCAGCTTGTTCTATCCCTTGTAGGAATCACTGAGATCCTGATGAACAGACCTCATGCCCGAAATGCCCTGGGGCACATCTTCGTCAAGGAGGTGAAGACTGGGGAGCACTAGGGTGGGGCTGGGGATGTACCATGACGTGCCTGACAAGGTGTCTTCTGCAGCTGTTTGAAGCTCTGGCCCTGCTGCGAGAAGACCAGCACGTGCGTGTTCTGCTCTTCAGAAGTGGAGTGAAGGGTGTGTTTTGTGCAGGTAAGTTCCATCTCCAGCTTGGGCCATATCCCGGGCTCTGGAGGGCTCCTCCAAGCAGGACCTGGACCCTTAGGTCAGCTCCAGTGGAGGACATAATCCCATTTTATACAAGTGAACTTGAAGCTCCAGGTCCAATGTCTTGTAAAAGGTCATAAAGCACAAGTCAGCTTGTTCTTGATTTCAGGGCCTCATTCTTTCTCTACACTTTGTTGAGGAAATGAAGAAACTGAGTCACCAAACATGCTTTCAAAGTTAATAATAAGTTGAGACTCTGTCCTTTGCCCACCTGCCCAATCTGTCCCCATTACCAAAGCCCTCCCCAGTACCTGCACCATGGGGTCCTCACAAGGAAAGCACCATGAACTTCTGCCTCAAAGGCAGACAAAAGCTGGATGCTGGTGGCTCACGCCTGTAATCCTAGCTACTCAGGAGACAAATCTGAGGATTGCAGTTCAAAGCCAACCCGGGCAGGAAGTCTGTGAGACTTATCTTCAATAAACCACCAGAAAACCGGAAGTGGCGCTATGCCTCAGTGGTAGAGCGCTCGCCTTGAGCTGAAGAACTCAGGGACAGTGTCCACACCTGAGTTAAAGCCCCACAACTGACCATAAAAACAAAAAAAAAAAGGTAGGGCTGGGAAGGTGGCTTAGTGGTACAGTGCTTGCATGCATGAGGCCCTGGGTTCGATTCCTCAGCACCACATAAGCAGAAAAAGCCAGAAGTGGCACTGTGGCGCAAGTGGTAGAGCGCTAGCCTTGAACTGAAGAGCTGAGAGACAGCACCCAGGACCAGAGCTCAAGCCCCAGGACAAAATAAAAAAAGGCAGAAAAATGTAGGGGTAAGAGGAAGTATATGACTCTCGGAGCCCTTCAAGGTATGGTTTGCCTTAGAGCTGAGCTGTCATGGCTCAGTGTAAATGTTTTATATACATATTATATATGTATATGTGATTTCCTTTTCAATCTTTGTGGTACTGAGATTTGAACTCAGGACCTCGCATTTATTATTTTTTGGGGGGGGGTCCGGTCGTGGGCCTGAACTCTGGGCCTGGGCGCTGTCCCTCAGCTCTTCAGCTCAAGGCTAGCACTCTACCACTTGAGCCACAGCACCACTTCCAGCTTTTTTCCTTTTTGCTTATGTGGTGCTGGGGAATCGAACCCAGGACCTCAGGCATGCAAGGCAAGCGCTCTACCACTGAGTCACCTTCCCAGCCCAGGACCTTGCATTTATTATGCAAGCACTTTATCACTTGAGCTATCTTTTTTGCTTTCATTTTTTGATTGGCTCTGGAGTTTTTGCCCAGGGACAATCAAGAGTGAAATCTTCCTACCTATGCCCCTTGTGTAGGTGAATTACAGGCATGAGACACTATATTCAGCCCCTGAATTCCTGTTTTCAGTGCTTTGAGGCATGTATTTAGGACTAAAGTATAAGGTGTTTTGCAGTTCTCTTTGGTGGTCCTGTGGTTTGAACTCAGACCTCACGCTTGCTAGGCAAGCACTCTTGCCACTGAGCCACATCTCCTTCCATCTTTGGTACTGGTTATTTTTCATGTAAATTTTCACTTCCTATTCTGGCACACACCTGGATGGCAATCTTATACTTTGTGTCATACCAAGCATGACAGGCATGACGCATCACAGGTGGGGGTCTCATGAACTTTTCTGCCTGGATTGGCTTTAAACCATAGTACTCTCATCCTCAGCCTCCCAAGTTGCTAGGATTATAGGTGTGAACCAGTGGTACCTGGTAGTGATAACTGCCCTAACATATATGGAGATAAGAGACTTACGGACTTTCCTGCCCCGGCTGGCTTTAAACCATGATCCTCAGATCTCAGCCTCCTGAGCAGCTAGGATTTCAGATGTGAGCCATCAGTGCCCGGCTTCTGTGTACTTTTTGACTGTACTTTGCCTACTTTGTTTTTGTTGCATTACAGGAAGTCTTTATATATACTAGGTATTGACCTTTTTCTCTCCAGTGTTGGGGATGGAACCCAGGGCCTCACATACACAAGTCAAGTGCTGTACAGCTGAGTGACTTGCAGCCTTGTTATTAACCTCTTACCAGATATATTATTTGCAGACTTTCTCCCACTGTGGATTATGTTTTTCATTCTGTTAATAGGGTCTTGATGCTCAAAATTATTCACTTTGATGAAACCCAGTCAATCTTTTTCTGTAAGCCCCTTTCCTTTTTTCTTTTCCTTCCTCTTTCTGATATTTCCTGCTTCTTCCTCCCTGGCTGTTTTTCCTTACATCTTTGCTGGATACTTTAACCACCTGGCATTCCCATAATAAGCCATTTATCCAAGAATGGCACCAACTGCTGAGCATCTACAGGTGCAGACCTGAAGGAACGGGAGCAGATGAGCCCTGTGGAGGTGGGCGTCTTTGTGCAGCGACTCCGAGGCTTGATGAATGAGATCGGTGAGTCTGGGAGTAGGATGGAGGTGTGGGAGCCCCTGCTATTGCTAGCCCTTTCCCCACGCACCATGCTCTACTCTATGGGAACACAGATGACTCCCAGGATAAGCACAAGGAATTCTACAAGGGGGAGGGTACAATCAGCATTTCTACCAGAGGGAGTCCTAGCTCTTCAGCCTTTGTTCACCACACCAATGTCCTATTCCCCCCTCAAGCCCAGCCCCTCCAGGAGTCAGGAGTCATGCTCACTAGACAGATTTAGCAGCCTTTGCTATTTTTCGAGTACCCCTTCTTGAACTGATCTATCTGAACTTTTCCTTTTCCTTCAAGACCTACTATGCCTCTTCCTGCAAGAAGCCTTTTTGACTCATCCTCCAAGCTTTTTTGTTTTGTTTTTAATTTCTAGTACTAGGGTTTGAGCTCAGGGCCTTGCACTGGGCTGGCTGGCTTGATTGGTGCTCTTCTGGCTTTTTGCTGATTAAACATGAGAGTGTCAAAGATTTGTTTTCCTAGACCTTCTCCCCCTTCCCCCCTTTTCTAGTCCTGGGTTTTGTTTTTTTTTGGGGTCCGGTCGTGGGGCCTGAAATCTGGGCCTGGGTGCTGTCCCTCAGCTCTTCAGCTCAAGGCTAGTACTCTACCACTTGAGCCACAGCACCACTTCCGGCTTTTTTCTTTTTGCTTATGTGGTGCTGAGGAATCAAACCCAGGGCCTCATGCATGCAAGGCAAGCGCTCTACCACTGAGCCACCTTTCCAGCCCCAGTCCTGGGGTTTAAATACAGGGTCTGGGCTGTTCCTGGAGCTAAGAATATCATAGACTTTCCTGTCCAGGCTGGCTTCAAATCACAATTCTCAGACCTCAGCCTTCTGATTAGGTTACATTGTAGGCATGAGCCACCAGTGACTGACTCCAGGCTAGCTTTAAAACATGATCTTCAATTTTAGCTCTTGACTGGCTGTGATTACAGGCATGAACCTCAGGTGCAGTTTTTGTTGTTAGTGGTGGTGGTAGTGGGTTTTTTGCTTCCCACCATAGCTAGGATGGCATGTACATGCAACCACACCGAACTTCTTCCACTGAGATGGAATCTCTGGCTTTTCTCAGGCTAGCCTGGAACTGATCACAGCCTCACTAGCTCCAGCTTTAGGCTCCCTTTCATTGGAGCATTCAAATTTCCAGATTATCACTGTCTGAATACTTGATTACCTTCCATTGGACAGGGGGCACATGGGAGTAGAGCCAAGTCTGATTCTGTTTCTAGCACCCAGCACATTAAGTCAGGTTCCAGAGACACCAGTGAGTGTGGACTTAAACAGAAACTGTCAGCTTATTTTCCAGCTGACCCTAGAACATTCCTGATGGAAAAGCTGACTTCTTAGATAATCTGACTGAAATTCTAGGTGAGGTCCCTAAGTCTGGGACCAGTAAGGCCTGCTATTCCACCAGCCTTAGGTCTCTCCTGGCCCTTTTGTCTCCACAGCAGCCTTCCCTGCACCCACCATTGCAGCGATGGACGGGTTTGCCTTGGGTGGAGGCCTGGAACTTGCCCTTGCCTGCGACCTCCGAGTGGCAGGTACTTGGCAGGGGTGAGGTGAAGGTATGAGGTGGGGAGGTTGAATAAAACAAGAAATCTGGGGCTTCTGCGAAGTTAGCCACTGCTCTTGGCCTTCCCACCAAGAGTAAAACTGAGGGAGAATATGGGAACACAGAAGACAAAGGTATTGCCACCCACTGCTGTTATAGCCAAGGCTGGCAAGAACTGCTTTGTTCATCTTGAGAAAGCCTTCTGCAACCTGAGCCATGGCTGACAAGGTCAGCAGAGTACATAGGTAGTGAGAACAAAGAACACTTCACCTTTCAGTTCTGATGAAGTCAGATTACTTACCATGAAATGAACAGAGGGCCAGGCAGGTGTTTTGTCACTGGTCCATTTGGTTGCAAAGGTGCCTGGCAAGTTCATAGCAGCACCCATTTACTGGTAAGCTGGGTGCTGGTGGCTCACTCCTGTAATCCTACTCAGGAGGCTGAGATCTGAGGATCATGGTTTAAAGCCAGCCTGGGCAAGAAAGGACATGAGACACAGAAAACCAGAAGTAGTGCTGTGGCTCAAGTGGTAGAGTACTAGCCTTGAGCTGAAGAGCTGAGGGACAGCACGCAGGCCCTGAGTTCAAGCCCCATGACTAACAAAAAGAAAAAGAAAAAAAAGGATGGGGGATGCAAGATAATCAATCACTTTTCAAAGTCACTGCCTTGGTGGCTTCTCTCCCATTTTTCTCTTGCCACATATCCATGTGTGAAGGTATCCATCTACGCAAAGAGGGAACTGACCAGACTGGGGAGGTAGCTTGCTTACTTCTAGAGCACTTGCCTAACATGTTCAAGGCATTGGGGGGAGAAAAGGAATTGATCAAGTGATCAGACACCAAAATTCCAGGTCAGGCTAGCTCTGCCTGTCACTTGCTCATATGTCAGGCAACTACCATGCAAGGTTTGCTGAGGACAGAGTAGAAAAACCTGTACAGTAGCCCAGCTGCCTTTCTGCCCACATTACACACGTCATATGGCTTGTGCTGAGGCAGAGCTACTCAGAGGCAGCAGCATTTCAGAGGAAGATGTGGACTGAACTGTCAGGGAAGTTTCAGGCTTGACAAAACCTATGAGGCATATTCACAAGATCAGGGAGCATGGACACAAGCCAGAGCTGAAGGCACAAGAGAGCATTTACCTCCAACTGAGTGTCAGGCACCTTCTAGGAACCCTTGCTTGTTCCAGAGTGATGTGGTGACCAGGTAAAAGAGGCCAGTTACCCTTTTTCCACCATTGAGGAAAGGAGACTCACAGGTAACATCTCTACCAGCAGGCACTGGTGAGATGCCAGCCTGGAGGCCCAGTTGGTTGGTATCTGGGTGTGGCCAGAACCATGAGGAAAATGTCTCCTTTCCTCAGAGGTTCGCAGTGGAGGGTGGGCAGGGGAGAGCATTCCTTCACTTTGTGCTGTTCCAATAGCTTCTTCAGCTGTCATGGGACTGATTGAGACCACAAGAGGACTTCTCCCCGGAGCAGGTATCCTGCTTTCACTGTCAACGTCTGTCTGCTTTCTTCTCTTATCCTGGTTCTTGCCCTTCCATCCTAACTCATCCTGCAACTCTGCATCTGTGGGTTCCCCCTTCTCCACCAGTCTTAGCCTCCTCATGCCACCATCCTTGTAGGAGGGACTCAAAGGCTGCCCCGATGCCTGGGAGTGGCCCTGGCAAAAGAGCTCATCTTCACGGGCCGACGACTGAGTGGGGAGCAAGCCCACCAGCTGGGGTTGGTGAATCATGCTGTTCCCCAGAATGAGGAAGGTGATGCTGCCTACCACCGAGCTCGAGCCCTAGCCCAGGAGATTCTGCCCCAGGTATAGTGACAATTAGACACAGGACTGTGGGAGGCCCAGGGGGGAAGCAGGTGTTCCCTGAACTCCAGTGGGTTTGAAAGCAGCAAGGCAGCACTGTCCACTAAGTTCCTGAGATGAAGTCATGTTCTCCATTCAATGCCATACAGCATGGTACAAAGCCAAGTGATTTAGATTGGATAAAATTTAGCTTCTCAGTTACATTAATATCTACATGTGGAATTATATTTTCATATGCACATGAAAGCAGCTGAAATGAAGTCAGGTTTAATCTGTATTAAGTCCCTGTGTGGCGGCACTCTGTAACAAAATGTTGGGTACTGTAATGCAGGGCTTGCTATTAGGATAATATATTTGAAATGATTTTTTTTTCTTTTTGGCATTACTGGGGCTTGAACTCAGGGCTTTGTGCTTGCTCAGCTTGTTTGCTGATGCTCTACTACTTGAGTCACACCTCTAGCCCATGAGTGAGAAAACAGACTCAGAATGCCTAAGTGGCTTGTTCAAGGATATTAAAGTCACTTCAGTAGCACAGTTATTTTTGGCATTTGTTTTGGGGGGTTTTTTTGGGAGTCCAGTTGTGGGGCCTGAACTCTGGGCCTGGGTACTGTCCCTCAGCTCTTCAGCTCAAGTCTAGTGCTCTACCACTTGAGCCACAGCACCACTTCCGGCTTTTTTTCTTTTTGCTTATATGGTGCTGAGGAATCAAACCCAGGGCCTCAGTCATGCAAGGCAAGCGTTCTACCACTGAGCCACCTTCCCAGCTCATTTTTGGCATTTATTTTGCACAGTAAAGAAAACTTTTTTTTTTTTTGGTCAGTGTGGGGCTTCAACTCTGGGCTTGGGCGCTATCCCTCAGCTCTTCAGCTCAAGGCAAGCACTCTATGGCTTGAGCCACAACACTACTTCCGGTTTTCTAGTGGTTTATTGGTGATAAAGAGACTCATGAACTTTCCTGCCTGGGCTGGCCTTGAACTGCGATCCTCAGAGCTCACCCTCCTGAGTAGCTAGGATTAAGGTGTGAGCCACCGGCGCCCGGCTAGAAAATCTTTTTTGTGGGGCTGGGAAGGTGGCTCAGTGGTAGAGCGCTTGCCTTACATGCCTGAGGCCCTGGGTTCGATTCCTCAGCACCACATAAGCAAAAAGAAAAAAGTCGGAAGTGGTGCTGTGGCTCAAGTGGTAGAGCGCTAGCCTTGAGCTGAAGAGCTGAGGTACAGCGCCCAGGCCCAGAGTTCAGGCCTCACGACCGGACCCAAAAAAACAAAAACTTTTTTGTATGTGCCAGTACTGGGGCTTGAACTCAGGAATTTAGTTCTATCCCTTAGCCTTTTCTGCTCAAAGCTAGTGTTCTGCCACCTGAGCGGCATGTCCATTTCTAGCTTTGTGGGGGAACCCCACAACTGCCTTGGTTGTGGGGCTTGAACTCAGGGCCTGGGCACTGTCCCTAAGCTCTTCTGCTCAAGGCTAGTGCTCTACCACTTTAAGCCATACCTCCACTTCCAGTTTTTGAGTGGTTAATTGGAGATAAGTCTCACAGGGATTTTTCTGCCTGAGCTAGCTTTGAACCATTTTCCTCAGATCTCAGCCTACTGAAGCAACTGGGACTAAGTTAAAAACTTATTTTTAGAAGTACAGTACAGAATACATATAAAATTTTAATATCTTTGAAACAGAATATGTACACTTCAAATACAAAGTACTTAAAATGTTACAAAGCAGTTTAAGCCTATAAAAAGTATTTGTCATATATCATTTTAAGATGGTATTTGAATTAACCTTTAAAAATAACAAGTGTATTTACTCATTCTCTGACTTATGTAATTGTAATCTCTCTGTACATCACCTTTATAACAATTTTTTAAAATTTTATTAAAGTTTGATTTAAAATAGAAAAACCTGCTGGAGACATAGCTAAGCTGAGGGTCCAGATCCCAGTATGGCTCCCTCATCCCTCCCCCCCACCCCACCCCACCCCCCCAAAAAAGGCCAGGCCCTGGTGGCTCATGCCTTTAATCCTAACTACTAAGGAGGCTAAGGGAGTCCGTGAGACTCTTATCTCCAATAAACCACCAGAAAACCGGAAGTGGCGCTGTGGCTCAAGTGGTAGAACGCTAGCCTTGAGCTGAAGAACAGGGACAGCACCCAAGCCCAGAGTTCAAGCCCCACAACCACCCAAAAAAAAGGAAAACAAACCACATGCTAGTGGCATCTTTGAATAAGAAAGCATTTTGGGGCTGGAAAGATGGCTCAGTGGTAGAGTGCTTGCCTTGCATTCATGAGGCCCTGGATTCAATTCCTCAGCACCACATAAGCAGAAAAGGCCAGAAATGGCTCTGTGGTTCAAGTGATAGAGCACTAGCCTTGAGCTGAAGAGCTGAGGGACAGTACCCAGGCCCAGACTAGCTCAAGCCCCATGACTGACCAAAAAAAAAAAAAAAAAGAAAGAAAGAAAGCATTTTGTAGCCAGCTTTAGTGGCACATATAATTACCACCTATTGGGAATATGAGGCAGGCAGACCCTAAGGCCAAGACTAGCCTGGGCAACTTTGACCTCTCAGGAGCTAAAGAAAACACAAGAATGGGGCCCTGGGTTAAACACATACCCCACAGCTGTTTAGGAACTGTAATGACACGAACCCCAGGCTGGTTGGGGTTTGAAAAGTCTTCAATTTGACTTAGTAGGTAAGAGGACTAATGAAATATATCATCAATCAGTAGAATGGTTGCAACCAGAACTGTCTAAAGCTCTTCCCTTACAATATACCTGTGTTATCTCTCTTCATTCATGTCTCAAACAAGCATTTTCTATTCCTAGGCCCCTATTGCTGTGCGGTTGGGCAAAGCTGCCATTGACCGAGGAATGGAGGTGAGATTCCAGTGTGTCAGGACTTGGGTCCACTTAACTCCGTGTCAGGGTTGCAGCATTTTCTAGATTCTGGGAACCAACAGCAAAGCTGAACAATGAAAAAACTTGGAGTCTGATCTTAGTTCACTCATTTACAAAATGGGAGGTTTGGGTATCCCTATTTCTTTCCCTTGGGAAGAAGAACGTTCAGAAAGGGTAAATGACTCAACCAAGATCAGAAGTGAGCATTAAGAACCTAAGCCTGGGGCTGGGAAGGTGACTCAGTGGTAGAGTGCTTGCCTTGCATGCATGAGGCCCTGGGTTCGATTCCTCAGCACCACATAAGCAAAAAGAAAAAAGCCAGAAGTGGCACTGTGGCTCAAGTGGTAGAGCGCTAGCCTTGAGCTGAAGAGCTGAGGGACAGCACCCAGGCCCAGAGTTCAGGCCCCACGACCAGACCACCCCCCCCAAAAAAAAAAAGAACCTACGCCTGTGGAGCTCTTGGGTCTATACTGATCTTCAGTAATGAGGCCCTGAGTCTTTACACATTGAATCTAGAACTGAGCTAAGAATTGAGATTCAAGAATAAGATATAGTCTCTGACCCTTGAGGTAGAAAGGGGTAAGATAGACATAAACCACTTAGGAAAAGTTAATTGTACCAAGCAGGTACCTGAGAGGCTGGAGCTATACTGTCCACAAGGTGGGCACATATAGCTGTTTCTGCTATTCCTGTTTGATCAAAACTTTTTGAGCAATGAGTGTTTCCACACGTTATTATTTAGGACAATAGAGGACAGAATGTGCCAGGGACCAGCTCATAAAGGCCTAGGGCCTACACTTCCTGAGGACCGTGAAACTGACAAAAGGTACTGCTGAGGTACATGGCTAAGGATGGTCACTAGCCTCACCATGCAGCTTGCACTCTGCCCCTCTGAGCAGGGGGAAGTCAGCTTTACAAATGTCAGCCTCACTTCTCCTCACACACTTTGCTTCTCCTATGCATCCCAGGCAGAAATTCCTGACAGGTCATCTCTGCTCCTAGTCTGGCTACCAGGGGGTAGCCCAGGTCAGGCTGAATACTTCTTTCTTGTAGGTGGATATTGCATCAGGAATGGCCATTGAAGGAATGTGCTACGCTCAGGTATGTGGCTGCTGCCAGCCTGCACATTAGTAGAGACTGGGTCATGAGGAGGCTTGTGTAGTTCAACTAATTAATCTAGGGTGGCTCCAGGTAAAGCACATGGCTTCCCCTCAGTTCCTTAACAACTTACTGGCATATCCTACCCTATTGATATCCATAGAATCACAGCACACGTTTGACAAAGGTACTTAACAGCCAAGCACCCACACACTTGACAAAGGTACTTGACAGCCAGGGACCCTGTGGCTCATGCCTGTAATCCTAGCTAATCAGGAGGCTGAGATCTGAGGATTGAAGCTCAGAGCTAGCCCAGACAGGAAAGTCCATGAGCCTCTTATATCCAATTAACCACCAAAAAACAGGGAGTGGAAAAGCAAACAAACAAACAAACCAACAGGGAGTAGTGCTGTGGCTCAAGAACTCGCCTTGAGCTGAAGAGCTCTGGGACAGCACCCAGGATGACTTCAAGTCCCACAACAACAACAAAAGGTACTTGACAAAATACCTCTGGGTACTTTGGATATTGCTACCCCTGTACCCACTATAGAGGGCTAGGCTAGAGTTGGGACATAAAGGCTGTAACTTGCACTATACCCAATAGAGGGGCTACAAACCTGAGTCTTGACCTATTTAGCCCAACTTGACTTGTGTCTGTGCTAGTACTAATGCCTAAACTCAAGGCCTCCCACTGTCCCTTAGCTTTTCATTTAAGGCTGGAGCTCCGCCACTTGAAACAGCTTTTTGCTGGTTAATTGAATTTGTCTGCTGAGGCTGGCTTTGAACTGGTATTCTGAGCCTCCTAAGTGGCTAGAATTATAGGGATGAGCGACCAGTGCCTGGGTTAGCCCAGTTCTTGAGAGAATAAAGTATCACTGAAACATTAAGAACCTAGTGACAACCAACTATATTCTCTTATTTTTTTCTTTTTGTCGGTTGTGGGGCTTGAACTGTGGGCCTCAGCTCTTCAGCTCAAGACTAGTGCTCTACCACTTGAGCCACAGCACCACTTCTGGTTTTCTGAGTGGTTTATTGGAGATAGTCTCACAGACTTTCCTGCCTCAGCTGGCTTTGAACCACAATCCTCAGATCTCAGCCTCCTGGGTAGCTAGGATTACAAGTGTAAGCCACCAGCACCCAGCCTATTCTCATATTCTTAATATTCTATATTAAGCAATTCTTTGGCAGCTGTCTCTGCTCCTACAAAACTAATATCCTGTGCACTGTTGTAGAACATCCCAACCCAGGACCGGCTGGAAGGCATGGCTGCCTTCAGGGAGAAGCGCGCCCCAAAATTTGTTGGCAAGTGAACTCCTTTCTTCCCCTATACCTGAAACACCAGACATGTATACCTTAAAGAACAGAATCCAAATGGGAAGTCTTCAGTCAAGACTGCCATACTTATTTCACCTTGGCCTTCAATTTCTTCACAAAGATGATCAACCATTACTAAATGATGGGCAAAATGATGACCTGCACTTCCTGTTGCATTCTTTCTTATTCCTTACCCTGGCTATATCATCACCGGAGTCAGGTTTGCTTAAAAAATGTCTGATTCTCCCTATCCAGATGACAAACTATAGATTAAAGAACTGCCTCTAGATCTGTATTGTTGGCTCTCAGTCCATGGCCTCTGCCTCTCCATGACCAGCTTACTAGAGACACAAAGACCAATGAATCAGCCGGGCACCGGTGGCTCATGCCTATAATCCTAGCTACTCAGGATGCTGAGATCTGAGGATCATGGTTCAAAGCCAGCCCAGGCAGGACTCTTATCTCCAATAAACCACTAGAAAACTGGAAGTGGCGTTGTAATTCAAGCAGTTGTAACTCATGTAACTCATGCAACTCATGCGGTAGAGCGTTTGCCTTGAGCTGAAGAGCTGAGGGACAGCGCCCAAGCCCAGAGTTCAAGCCCGACGGCCGACAAAAACAAAAAACAAACAAACAAAATGAATCAGTGGGGTCAGTGGTTGAAGGGATCAGTAGCAACTGCAGATTTATGCAGATCCTAACTCTCTCCTTGTGGTGTAACCTTGGACAAACTGCTTAATCTTCTGAGGCTTCAGTTTCTGTACCTGTGAGATTAATCTGTTGTGAGGATTTAAAACAGTTACCCAGGCACTGGTGGTTCACACTTGTTATCCTAGCTACTAGGAGGCTGAGATTTGAGGATTATGGTTCAAAGCCAGCCCAGCAGGCCCATCTCCAATTATGCACCAAAAAAGCCAGAAGTAGAGCTGTGGTTCAAGAGGAAGAATGCTAGCCAGCCTTGAACACAAAAGCTGAGAGATAGCACCCAGACTCTTAAGTTCAAGGCTCAGGACCAACACAAACACACACACCTTGTGTTCAATAAACATGTTATAATTGTTAGCTTACATTGTAATTGTGAGACGTACAATCAGTGTTGAAGGACTTTTGTAGATTGCAGGTTGCAGGAAGACTTTTAATGGCCTTTGGGAGCACTTAAAAGGAAGTAGTGATTTTGAGGAGGCAAAGGAGAAATGAGCAGGCACCATTACAATAGATCCTTGAAGACAAGTAGGCATATGAATCAGCAGTGATGCGAATGGCATGGGCAAAGGCAAACTAGATGACACACTTGGAAAATAAATGAAGGTGGAAGGCTGGCATTTGCTTGTCAATACCAGCCTCAATGCCCTTTTCTTCTAAGGCTGCTTCAGGATCCTCTAGAGTTGTTCTACCTAAGCATCCAGAGAAACTTGGCCTAGATTCACTGGCTCTTCCATAGCACAGACACATCGTAATAACTGTTGATCTGCTAAATGCAAACATACAAAGGTTATACTTGTTTCCTGGAAGGCAGGCTTCAGAAGTAGCACCGTTCTCACAACTCAGAAAAGTAACTGCCCTAAACTTCCTTTTCCTTCTCACCTTTCAACTGAGGAGAAAAAAATTTACCTATATCAGAGGACTGCTGTGAAGACAAAACTTGAAAAGGGCACCTGATACAGGATTGGAACTCAGACATTCAAGGTTTGGCACCTGTGGTTCAGACTGTGTAGGAGGCTGAGACCTGAGAGACGTTAGCAGCCAACTCAAGAACAAATGCCTGCAGATTCCATCTCTAGTCATCAAAAAGCCAGAGTAGAGGCCTGGCTTAAGAAGTAGAGCATCAGTCATGTATTAGAAAGCTGAGGAAGAATGCAGCCCAGAGTTCAAAACCTTGTATACACATATGCACACACACACATACACATGTGCACATACCTACATAGACCCTGGTTCCCATGACATCCCTGCATTAGTGAAAAATTGGTTATCTGGTAAAATAATGCTCCAAAATGCTGGAACCAAGAGCAGGAAACTAAGACCTTTTTGGAAGCATGCAGAAGAATGGGTAATTTACGGACTCTGAAAAGACTTGTTCACAAATTCTGCTTTGGATGAATAAAAGTTTAAACCATGGTTTAAGGTAACAAAAAATACAAAAACATATTTGTCAGTTATCAATAATAAAGAATAAATACAGGGGTTGGGAATGTGGCTTAGTGGTAGAGTGCTTGCCTAGCATGTATGAAGCCCTGGGTTCAATTCCTCAGTACCACATAAACAGAAAAAGCCAGAAGTGGCACTGTGGCTCAAGCCCCAGGACTGCCATTAAAAAAAAAAAAAAAAAAAAAAAAGAATAAATACATACTCAAACCCTTTTTCTAACCCTTCCCCTTCCTAGTTTTGGGTATAGTCTGAACAAATTAACCAAATGCCACATATACTTTATTCTGACCACTCCTTGCTAGGGAAGTATTCTACCACTTCAGATACATCCTTAGCCTTACTTCTCATCTTCTTTCTTCATGTACGTCTTTTCTGGTACTGTCATATATATAACCAGAAATAACAACTGAGAAAATTAACAAATATCAAGGACTCTCTGTAGGTCTTTCCTTCATCTTCAGGGTAAGCAAGTCCTATTCTCCTGATGAGCCCCCAAAGTGGAGAAACTGTCCAGGGTTAGGAAAAATTTGTACAACATTCCAACATAAGCTTCCAGGTGAAGTCTGTCAAATCTATGGTTTTGGTTTTTTAAAATTACTGAAGGAGTGTCTCTAGAATGAGCCCAACCTGAGTTTGGAATTACAGCGATCATACAAGTTCAACCTTTTGGTAATAAGATAAACAAACAGGGTAATGAGACTGTCAACTCACAAACTCAAACTGGTTTCAACACTCGATTACCAATAGAACAGAAGACCTGTCACCTATAAAGGGCGTTCACTATAGTGGGAGCCTCTGATAATTCATAAAATGCATCCTGAAGTCCTCTAGAATGGAAGCTGCAAGCTGCTGTACTTGTGGGTTCACCTGACTGTGCTCCTGGGTATCACACAAAAGCTTCAACACTTCTTCTTCCACTATCATTTTGCAGTATTTGCTGGCTGAAAGAAAATGAAATAAAGAAACACTATGAGCCGGGTGCCGGTGGCTAATGCTTGTAATCCTAGCTACTGAGGAGGCTGAGATCTGAGGATCACGTTTCAAAGCCAGCCCGGGCACAAAAGTCCATGAGACTCTTATTCCAATAAACCACTAGAAAACGGGAAGTGGTGCTGTGGCTCAAGCTCACCTTGAGCTGAAGAGGGCAGAGACAGTGCCCAAGCCCAGAGTTCAAGCCCCATGACTGACCAAAAAAAAAAGTTTAGTAAGAAAAGCTAATGGGCCAGGTGCGGGTGGCTCACGCCTGTAATCCTAGCTACTCGGGAGGCTGAGATCTGAGGATTGCTGTTCAAAGCCAGCCCGGGCAGGAAACTCCATGAGACTCTTATCTCCAATAAACCACTAGAAAACCAGAAGTGGTACTGTTGTTCAAGTGGTAGAGTGCTCACCTTGAGCTGAAGAGCTGAGGGACAGTGCCCAAGCCCAGAGTTCAAGCCCCATGACTGACCCCCCCCCAAAAAAAAGGCTAATGGCTTACACCTTAGTAAATGTCATTAACACTATGTGCCTTAATAGAACAGAATGAAATATCTTATGCCCCTGGAAAGCCCAGGGGCATTTCCATACTTGTGGAAATAAAGCAGAAAATATCCAAAAAATAATCAAGGGGCTGTGAAGGTGGCTCAGTGGCAGAGTGCTTGCCTCGTATCCATGAGGCCCTGGGTTCAATTCCTCAACATCACATAAACAGAAAAATCCAGAAGTGGCGCTGTGGTTCAAGTGGTAGAGCACTAGCCTTGAGCTGAAGAGCTCAGGGACAGTGCCCAGGCCGAGAGAGTTCCAGCCCCATGACTGACACACGCTCAAAAAAACCCAGAGAATAAAGGATCAAGCTGGTCCCTCAATGTACTAAACAGAAGCAAGAAACAATGAAGTATTCTTATGTTGGTACAGACTCTCAGGGTATATAGAATAAGTCTTTGCTGAGAATTCATAACAACAGTCCCAAGTAGGTTTGGATTCATACCAAGTGAACATTTCAGAGAAATTAAGAAGACTGGAAAGGTTTTAATGCAGTGTAGACAAAAAAAAAAAAAAAAAAATCAAGAGATTCCCACACCCCTATAACCCCCACTCCCCGCCACAAAGCTGGCGTGAGAGTTTGTACCTGTCATTCCAGCTAAAGAGGAGACTGAGATCAGGAAGTTTATGGGTTTCAGACCAACCTTAACAAAACAAAAACTTGCAAGACATCAACAGAAAAGTCTGAGCATGGTGGTACATACCCTGTCATTCCAGGAAGATTCTAGTCCAGTTTAGGCAAAAAAAACCCCAAAAAACCTATTTCATAAATGAAAACAAAAATAGCTGGAGGGCGGGGGGGGGGCTAGGAAGGTGGCTTAGTGGTAGAGCGCTTCCCTTGCATGCCTGAGGCCCTGGGTTCGATTCCTCAGCACCACATAAGCAAAAAGAAAAAAGCTGGAAGTGGCGCTGTGGCTCAAGTGGTAGAGCGCTAGCCTTGAGCTGAAGAGCTGAGGGCCAGCGCCCAGGCCCAGAGTTCAGACCCCACAACCAGACCTAAAAAAAAAAGTAGCTGGAGGTGTAACTTATAGACTCTCTTATCTCTCAGGAAAAATAAAGGATAAAGGACAGAAAGATTTGGATATGCGGGCTGGGATGTAGCTCAGTGGCAAAGCACTTGCCTAGCAAGTGCAACATCTGGGTTCGATCCCCAGTACCAAAAAAAAAAAAGAAAGGACAAAAAAAAAAAAAAAAGATTATACATGGGGCTGGGAAGGTGGCTCAGTGGTAGAGCACTTGCCTTGTATGCCTGAGGCCCTGGGTTCGATTCCTCAGCACCACATAAGCAAAATGAAAAAAGCCAGAAGTGGCACTGTGGCTCAAGTGGTAGAGTGCTAGTCTTGAACTGAAGAGCTGAGGGACAGCGCCCAGGCCCAGAGTTCAGGCCCCACGACCGGACCCCCCCCCCAAAAAAGAAAGATTTGGATATGCAAAAGTATATTTCTGAAAGAAATTCTACAAAAAATAAAATAAATGGGAGATGAGTAACATTTTTTTTTGAAAACTTTTTTTTTTTTTTTTTTTTTGCTGGTCATGTGGCCTGAACTCAGGGCCTAGGTGCTGTCCCTCAGCTCTTCAGCTCCAGGATAGCACTCTACCACTTGAGCCACAGTGCCAC